GGCCGCCGGTGAGTCACGATGGCGCTCGAACACTCGGCCATCCTCTTCGGGTGCCAGATGTCGTCGTCGTCCCCGAAGACTACCCAGGCAGAGCGGCACCCCTCAGCCTCCCCAGGCGCTGGGCAGACCGGGGCCCAGGCCTGCCGCACCAGCTCCTCGGCCAGCCCCAGGGCCTCTCGCAGGTGTTGGAACTGCGAGCGCGGCTGCGCCTGCGGGGCCGAGACGATCCTGGGGCCAGGCAGCGCCAGGCCGTTCACCTCTTCAACGATGCCCGCCAGCCCCTCGCCGAGCTCCTCGGTGGCGCACGCCCAACTCAGGACGAAGAAGAAGTCCGACCGGTCCTCGCCCCCGCCGCTTGGGCGCCAGGGCTCCTGCCCCCGCACAGAGAGCAGCACGAACCTCAGCCGCCGCAGCCGCCCCTCCGTGCGAATCTGCGCCGCCATCAGCCCCACCAAGGCCACCCGCTGCGGGGGCGGCCGCGGCGACGCGCGCGATAGCTGCTCGGGACCGTGCCTCACGGCCAGCGGCCTCTCCTCACCGCCAGGCCCGCGGATCACCACGCTCACCCACCCCGTGGGGGGGCCCGCTCCAGACAGCCGCTGGTAGCGCAGCCGGTCCCTCACCAGGGCCAGCTGCTCCACCAAAGACCCCGTCGCCAGCCGCTCCGCCTCCGCGGGCGAGCCCACGCCGCGCCCCGCGCGCACCACGATCCCGCCCCGGCCCGCGCCGCCGACCACCCGCCAGATCGGGCCCGAAGCCTCCGCGGTGGCGCACGCCTCCGCCCCCTCCGCGCAGCCGGACCGGTCGCCAGCGTGTCCCTCCTCCCCCGCCGCCCGCTCCAGCAGCGCCCGCAGCTCCCGCAGCGCCCCGGTGCGCAGGCGGGCCTCGCAATCCTCGCGGCACTCCCCCGGCGGGCGGGCGCCTGCGCGCCCCGAGTCGTAGGCCGCCAGCTGATCCTGCACCCGCCGCCCCAGCCGCTCGCGCGCGGGCGCCAACAGCTCCTCCACGGCACGCGGCGCCTCGTCTGGAGGGGCGGCCCCAGGGCTGGCGCCCGCGGCCGGAGGCGCAGCCACCGCCAAGCCGTGCGCCGCGGGCCAGGGCAGGCCCGACGTGGCGCGGGCCCACCGCAGCCTCGTCTCCGCGCGCCACGCCTCGTCGCCCAGCTGCGGCAGGCGGCCTGCGGCGCGCAGGAGCACCCTGGCGGCGTACGCCTGCGCCACCTCGCGCTCGGCGGCGGCCATGGGCGCATGCGGCCGTGGGCGGCTCCCTGGCCGCCGCGGGGCCGGGCTCGCTGGGAAGGCCAGGGAGCCGGAGGCCCTACGCCGGGACCCCAGCCTGGCTGGAGGCGGTGTGCCGACATGGCCCGAGGCAGCCATGCGCACTTTGCTACTGGCGCCTTCGCTGGAGCTCCTATGGGGCCACGATCCTCGTGATGGGTGTGCTGATATGGCCCGAGGCCGCCATGCGCACTTTGCTACTGGCGCCTTCGGTGGAGCTCCTATGAAACCACGATCCTCGTGAGGGGTGTGCCGAAATAGCCCGAGGCCGCCATGCGCACTTTGCTACTGGCGCCTTCGGTGGAGCTCCTATGGGGCCACGATCCTCGTGAGGGGTGTGCCGAAATGGCCCGAGGCAGCCATGCGCACTTTGCTACTGGCGCCTTCGGTGGAGCCCCTATGGGGCCACGATCCTCGTGAGGATGATGATGATGATGATGATGATGATGATGATGATGATGATGATGATGATGATGATGATGATGATGATGATGATGATGATGATGATGATGATGATGATGATGATGATGATGATGATGATGATGATGATGATGATGATGATGATGGTGATCATGATGACGATGATGCGAGGAGGAGGGAGGGGGCAGCGGGAGGAGAATGGAACGCGGGGCGCTGTCTCGTCAAAACGAGGACCCAACACTACAGGATGGTTGGGAAAACAACAACAACAACAACAACAACAACAACAACAACAACAACAACAACAACAACAACAACAACAACAATAAGTTTAAAACTGTTCGCCCATTATATGCTCGAGTGTCCAATAACGCGTATTTCCCAAACCCTCGATACCCGCCCTCTTCGTCTTCGATCGAACCCCTTTTGGGGGGTATACCTTTCTTCCCTGCAGGCCGGGCCCCGGCAAGCGGCGGGGCGGCCGCGGACCGTCGGCCTGGCCAGCGGCAGCGCGATCGGCGGGGCGGCCGCGGACCGTCGACCCGACCCCAAGAGGGACGGACAGGGGACCGACCACGACACGACGACGACGACGACGACGACGACGACGACGACGTCGAAGACGACGACGACGACGACGGCGACGACGAGCGAAAGCGAGAGCGAGAGAGAACGACAGCAGGGCCACGAAGGGCACGAAGTAGGCCACGAAGGGCGACAGCGGGGACACGAATGGAATGCGTATGGGGCCACGAAGAGCGCGAACGAGCGGGGGCCACGAAGTGCAGATAATGCGGGGCCAC